AAAATTCTAAACTTTGGAATATAAAAATCGGATGGATTGGAGATGGGCTGCGCACCCTCCTCAAAGACCAGCATAAAACGAAATCCGTCCACCTCTTAAATCCATAAAGTTCGGCTAGAAGAATATAGGTCGAGAAGGAAATTTGTGAGAGAAAACAAATTGGAGAAAAATGAAAAATTGCGGAGGTATAGATTATTGATCAACCGACAAAAGAAAAGAAAAGAAAAGAAAGCATGGTCAACCAAGTAAGCATACTAAATATAAAAGAGAGGTCATTTGTATCATTTTTATTACCGATAAGAATGAAATGACGTAGTGTTACAAGTTCTATGGCATTAAGACTATTAAAACTCATTCTCTTATGGTTAGCTCGTCATTTAGACGATTTAGTTTTTTTTTCTTTTCTTGTAATTGCCAACTTTGAGTTTTAATAATACAAGATTATGATATGATACATAGTTTAAATCCCAGTTCAACATTGATCTTTTGTCACTTAAAAGGTACATAGTGACTTACTACTGACTTGTGAGCCTAGAAAAAGAAAGGTACATAGTGACTAACACAACAATAATTGAAGTCAGAGTAAAGTTATGAAGACTCGAATTACTTAGTTCATCAACTAATAAGATAAATCCGTCAATTTAGACTACCATGATATGGTTCATTGACTTGAATTTGAGTATGATATGGTAAGGCATGTGACAATCACGACATGCATGATGTCTACATGTGACAAAAACTGGTAAACATCTCGATTTCCGTAGATGTATAGGCAAAAATAAATTGAACATTGCTATGTTGTGTTAGCTGTGTATATTAATATATTTGTTTAATAGTCTTAAGGCACACATCATTAGATGATTTTTGGTTATTTGAACTTGAGTAATTTATCAATCGCACCGAATAAATAATAATGGTTCTCTTAAACGTCAAATTCAACAAATAGACAATATCGCGAAACTGATAGATTCTGTCAATCTTAAAAACATTATAGGGACCCATTTTAATTCGTACTAAACCAACTAGGCTTGGAGGTTCATGCATCTAAACCCAAATTACATTATTAGTTTAATCATATGCATGTACACGTAACAAATATTTCGGGAAACAGTAATATATTGAAACTTTTTTAATAAACCAACTTATGACGTCTCTTCCAATTGTTGCATACAAGTCCAAGTAATAATGAAAAAGAAGTACTCATATATACATAAATGAAAAAATTGAAACCCATACAAACTAACTTAACGCATTTCATCCCAAAATTCAGTAAATTAATAGTAATACTATGTGAAAACTTGTAAAGAAGTAGACAAAAAAGCTGAAAATTTTAAAACGCTTCACAATTTATTACAAAATCTAAATACTACTATCTACACAAAGATGTAATTTTTTCCATAATATAAAATAACAATCACAGAGAAACCGTAATACTATAACGCCCGATTCGAGCCACATTACACACACCAGTACTATACTACTAGCAATTCCATGTAACGGGTGACACTGAGAAAAGCAACGGCGGTTACAGAC